TTTACTCCAAATCGTTTTCAGCCTTAAACTTCTGGTTTTAAGCCTACAATAATTTAGCTATAACTGCAGGAACACTAACCATGATGAATTTATGTGGTTTTCATTATGGGAGCTGCTTCACTTTAAAGGCTGAGGCCATGTCTGCTATTCCCCTTCCCCCTGTACTCATACAACCCCACACACTGTTCTGTTTACAGGTTAATTTCCCCAAGCACCTTGGAGTATACATTTAGCTGCACTGCCTTAAAACATGTCTCCATTACTGAGGTGCAGGGTAGGATGTTAATGTTCAACTTTGGGGGTAATTTGAAGGACATCAACAGATTAAGCCCTCTTCTTCAAAGCAGCTTCTCTTCCAACTGGCATCATACCAGCTTTTGCACACACGCATCTCAAATTCCACGTGCACACTATGTATGTGTGCCTTGACATATGCACGCACATCTACACATACAAAACAATCTACAGTGTGCCTGGTGCCATTCTGTTCCAGAGGAAGCAAAGGTAAAAGTGGAAGGGAAGTGTAGAGCAGACCAACTATTAAAACTTGGTTCTCTTGGATAGATGCACATCTAACTCACAAACCAGAGGCTTCCACTGGAAACATAAAAACCAGAGTGCTCTGTAGTCTGTCAGTTCTCACATGAGCTGGGAGTCTCAGGGGCCTCTGTAGTAGCCATTGAACCCGACCTCCACCCAGGGTAGGGTCATGTTAAATGTGACTCTTGGCACACACGTGAGAAAGGAAGGCATTCAGAGGCAATTTGCTTTTCTCAGAGTTCTGCTTCAGAGTCATTGGGGGGAAATGTAACCTAAATGAAGAGGAAGATACAGAAGGCACTGAAACTTCCTTTTTTTTTTTGGAAAGCAAACATAGTAGGTGTCCAAATGTCAGCAGTGGGAAGAGAACGGGGAAATAAGCTGGGAGGAAGATGATGGGGACAGGGAAAAAAAGAGCCTAGAAGGAAGAGGACCAGAGATGGGAAAAGGACACCACCATCAGTAGCAAAGCAAGTGCAAAATACCCCATAGGTCTTCGTTCTTCTTCCTTGTGGCTATCCTATGACCCACAGTCCTTGGTCCTTGCAGCACTATACTCATTTCCCCATAGAAGATAGAATTGAAAACACTCCCCCTCTCAAGATGTCTGGGACTGGTTTCTGTAGTTCCCTCCTTTTGCCCCCAGTGTGAGAACTGGGTCTCCCTAGAAGTAACATACCACTCCAGAGCTGTCAGCCTTCTAGTCCCTTTTACTGAGATCTGACAGTCTCTGTGGGTATGTGAATTCAACCACCCCTGCCTGCTCTTCCCCTTTCCCCCTTGCTCTTTCACATACAGAGAGAGTTGAGCTGTTGTAAGCAGACAGCAAGCTGGGGTGAAGAGCTAAGGGCAGATGTGCTTCACTCTTCATTTCTGTCAGGGAAAAGAAAGGATGAAAAAATTCTTCCTGAAATGAATGGCACAATTCACACCTCTCAGAGCTGTTGTTTCAAGCTACATTTATGTCTCAAGCCATATTCACCTCCATCTTGTATTATCACTTAGTTCAGGACTGTGATGAATAGGTCATTTCACACCTTTCTGAAAAGTCTTCTGTTTAAAGGTCAGTTTCTTCTAAGTGCTATATAATCCCCATGCTTATCTAACTGCCTTGAAATCTGGCATGGTTACTGCAGGTGGTGAGTAGAATTATTGATCTAAATTAGAGGTCATTTGAGTCAAGAATTCCCAAGATACAGCCTTTTTTTAAAAAACCCCAACATTCCTTAACATTTACTGGTTGTACCAATGTTTCCTTTGTGCACACACCTAGAATAAAACTGTGGCCAAAGAGTCTCAATTGCTTAACCCTAGCAAATGAAAGGCATCAACTGTCTCTTTGGTATTCAGAGGTCAGATGTTTTCAAGAATTTCAGCTCCACACATGCAGCAAATTAAATGCTCAAGACTTCAGGGAGTTCCTGACCCTTTGAGTAGGTCTGAACATCTCCTTCTATTCCTAAATAAAACCTGGGATTTCTTTTTCCTTAAGAGGAGGAGGAATCCTTCTTCCTGCACTTACTGGGGACATGAATTCCAGTTAGTCCATTTTGAAAATTAAGAAAAATAGGAAAAGAAAAGGTAAGTCATACCTCTGAAATAGCTCAGAAGACACACAGGAGGAAGGAGACAGATTAGATATGTTAATGCAAGCCTACTCTAGGCTCTGGTGGCACCTCAGTTCAATAAAATTATAATAGCATCAATGGCTTGGAAAAAATGTATGCATATTATCTACTGTGCAACAGCAGTGATATTTGCAAGCAAGTAGAGAGACCCAAGTGTCTGCCATACAAACAGTCCTTAGAACACCAATGTCTTGTGGAACAGGAAAGATACATCAACAGAAAATGGCAGCAGAAGAGGCTGGGGAAAAAGAGAAGGAAACACAACTCTATGTTTACTCTCATGTGATTCTAGTCACCATAATTACTGCTGAGATGCTGAGACACAGACCACATCCGTGCTGGCCTTTTCACAGCAGTACTCTCGAAGGGCTCCACTACAGGACCATAATTCCCATTTGTGATTCTAAGCATGTATGAAAGAGAAGGAACATTTAGGAATCACCAGATTCCTATACACAGATGCAATTTTTTACCTGCTTTTTACTGCTCAGCCTGGCACACCAAACAAGTTTGCTGACTTTTTCCATTGCAACATCACTGGAAAAAAGCTGCTTTGCTCTAAGTTGTGTGTGACCTGCCTGGCACTGCATCAGAAATGAGACATGGATGAATGACCTGACTAAATCCTTATAGGACTTTCATGTTTCTTTTTGCCTCCCACCACACAGAAGGGCTCATCTCAACAAAAGTGGCTGTAGAAGAACCCACGTCAAGAAAATCATAACTCTTCTAAGCTGCTCCAGCTCATGTCTCCACAAATTCATTTTGAAGTGGATGGCAGTGTACAAACTGCGAGTGAATGGGAGGGCCTGCAGGTGTTTCTTTCCAACTAATGCACCCCAGGTTTACATTTTCCATGTGCTGCAATACAATCAAGCAATCAATGATTTAAGATATTTTTCAGTGACATTCTGCTATTACCCTTCTGTCATTTCCCTTCATTTCTCAAGGGCTGACATTTTTCAGCACTGCCAAACTATTCATTTAATTCTCTAAGTACCTTCAAAAATGAACCACATATAATTTTACAAACAACTGTGCATTAGTGAATAAAAGCAGTTACCATGGAATGTGTACAGAAACATATCCAGCCTCCATTAGAATGCCAAAGGTGTTTGTTATAGTCAGTGTTTTAAAACTGAATGCCAGATGAATTCACAATAATATGACATAACAGGATACTATTGGAAATATCTACTCCAGAAGCGTGTATACGGTCACATACTTGCATATAAATTACACAGAAATTCAGCCTAAATGATGGTAATAAAACAGAACATAAACTCTGACAAAAAAAAGACATAAAGCAGTAATTGAAAGAGCAATGAGGTAATCTGATGAACTAATAGCTACAGATATAAAAACAAATTAGAATTCTGGCAATTCACTGAAAGAACTGTTTCTTGAACTTTATCTTCATATTCAGGTATTGCCCATAAAAATAAGAAGCACTGAACATTAACCACAGGCAACAAGCTATTAAGTATTTGATCTATGGATGGCAAAATGACACTTTTATAAGGTACCAGAGTATATCAGATAAATGCCACGTTAAATTAAATGAACTCCAAGTCATAAGTCAACATGAACCAAATTTGAAACTAAGATTGGCAAGAGTATAAGAGCTCAAAAATGTCAAAAGATAACTGATCCCTCTCAAAGGCTTAAAACTGACAGGAAGAGTCAGTTCACCTGTGCAGTCACATCATTTTCTATAGGAAAGCAAGTAAAAGGTAGGTTCCAAAAGTTTATCATGAACAGTTGCATTTGAAAATGCAAAGTCACCTGGTAGCTCAGTATGTCACTGGGGGCAGGACATCTGAAAATGGACACCTAAGGCAGAAACAAGATTGCAAGTGCAACAAGAAGAAGAAATATCACTCCCTCTACATTCTTTAATGCAAGGTGATTCCGGTTCTCAGCAGCCAAAAAAGGTGTGGGGTTGAGGAGAGAGGAAGCATGCTACTAAAACTCTCTGCTCAGGTGAAATGAACACGGAAGGTGACTGACTTACTGTTCCTAAAAAAACCCCAAACAACGAAATTGCCTGAATGATCATTGCTACTCATTTGTTGACAAAGATTTATACAGGCCAAGGGACAAAACGATAGCATGCCTTTTCTTGAATCATTTACAACAGTACATACACTGTCTCTTCTGCTTGTCCCCCAAAGTGGCTGAAGCCACCTTTACAGAGCTTAGATTTTATTCTTATGCCATAGAAATTTAACATCTTCTCCATTAAACAGAAGAGCACTTCACAGAGTGGGCCTTGTCAAACAACGAGGAAGATAATTAAACTATTTTAATCTCTCAAATAAAGGGTGCCTGTGCTTCCTTTCAAGTAATTTTTAACTGAAGTATTCATTGGATGATTCACAAGTAAATATAAGTATATAACCTTTCCATTTCAAAAGTACTGACCTGGGTGAATTTGGGGCACAGAGTACCATGGTACAGAACCAGCAGCGAGGGAGCAGCATTAAGTGGAACAGTAACTGTCAGTGACAACTTTAAAATCCCAGTCACAGCAAAAGCAAATGGTGCTCCAAGCATTTTATTACCAAGAGTTGCATTCATCCAGGAAAGCAGAAAGCACTGGGTTTTTTTCACTAAAATTCACATTAATAATTAAAAAGAAGTTGAAATGGTTCCCAAAACGCCACACTAGAGTCTATGTGCAAAAGGCAGTATATTTAACATCAGTAAAGTCAATAATTTTCTTTAAAAATCAGTATCTCAAAAGAGTAACGTTTTCACTTGATAAGACCATATACATGACCGTTTGCATTAACAGATTAAATAACATTTCTTCCCTTTTAATTAACTTACCGGGTTGACAATATGTCAATAAGTTCTTTTCTGTTCTTGACTCTGAGTGTATTAGTTTTGTATCTGGAATCATTACTAACTTCAGGCAAATTCAGGATCTAAGTAAAAATAAAGGAGAGAAAAAAATGTGCTTGACAGGAGGTATTTATGTAGCTAAAGAAATTCATTACCGAATAAAGATAGCTTTCCAAAAATCCCCACTTCTCATTAATCTTTTAAAATAGATTAGGAAATAAAGCAAAGATACTGCCTCCTGGTTAATGCTACATAACAAGTACAGAAAAGACAAAAAGAAACTGAAGTTCCAAATTTTAGTTGATAGCTTTCACCATTAGCTAGCAGAAATTCTTACTGTAGAACACTAAAATGTCTGTGAAGTGTCACTGTAAGGTTGGAGAGATTTGTGGGGTTATCCTGCACTAAGTTCTATGTCACAGAACAAGAAATATGACTGTACTTCATGTGCCAGACTGAGGAAAGCTATGTCTAAGAACATTTTTTTCCATTTCAATAATTTCTGTCAAAAAGGAAAGAAAAAAAGGGAGGAAAAAAAAAGTCTTTTCCTATTGAAATGTCATATATATTCTTATGTTTTCTTCTGAAAGAATTAAGAAGAAAATTAGATATAAAGAAGAAATCCTTCACTATGAGGGTGGTGAGGTGCTGGCACAGGTTGCCCAGAGAAGTTGCGGCTGTCCCATTCCTGGCAGTGTTCAAGGCTGGATGAGGCTTTGAGCAACCTGCTCTAGTGGAAGGTGTCCCTGCTGTGGAACTAGATAATCATTAAGGTCCCTTCCAACCCAAACTATTCTATGATTCTATGATTTTTATCTGCAAGCTAACATGAAACATCAATTTAGCATCTTCCATCAACTCTTAATTCACAGCATATTTTCTTGTCCTTCTATGTTTACTCAATTTAGTTTATGAAAATCACGACAATCACAAATTAACTTCAGAAAACGTTCTTCTTTCCCTGTCTTAAAGATTAACAATAATACTGGCACCCCTTAAAAACTATCTCCTTTTCTTAATACTGCTATTTTGGAGTTCCAAATTACTGCTTTAGAGGAAAAAAAACCAACCAACCATGCAAGGCTGTTCAAAGTAAATGGTAGTGAATACTTATTTATGAGAGCTTAAAAAAAACCCTCATAAATTAATCAGAAAACTATGGTTCCATTTGATGAGTTATATGAAAACGGGTCATATGGAGTTACTTACTCTACTGTTTTAATTAATGTTACTGACTTCAGCTTTAACTTAATGTCCATCTGTTGTAAAGCTGCGTATCTATATATGTTCTCTTTTTTTCTGCGACTAACAAATGCACATTTGAGAAGTTATTCATTAATGAGCCATTCATCTTTCTGCATCACATTGCCAGTGTGACTTTCTTATTTCACTGTGACCAGTTGGAATAAAACTGCTGTTCTTTTCTAGGCCTCCTCCAAGCTTTCAGATGCACATTCAGAGTTTGCACTCTCTGTGTTTTGTCCCCCAACACCAGCAAACCTGTTCGTACTGTCCCCTGCTGTACACAAAAGCTTAGTGTTTTGAAGAGTCTTGCTCAGCATTCCTATTTATACTGAAGAAGCCATACATCAGGATCTGCTTTTATAACACTTGACCGCCATGAAATGCACTTCGGCTAGCAGTCCTACAAAGTTTTCCTGCAATTATCCAAGTCCCCAAACCTACAGTTAGTGTGCACTGATTTCGAAAATATCTCAGTGAATTATTCCAGCTTTTTCTTTCTGCTTGCCTAAAAAGTTATGGTTGAAGCAGAATGTCTGCAATTGTTTACAGCTTGAGCCAGCTGTTCCATCTCCAGAGTATTCAGGGTAACAGCTTCCATACAGCCTGTATTTTTAGCACCAACTCATCTCAGAAAGGTTCTTCAATAGCAATTCCTATGTTTAAATTAGTGGTCTCTGTATTTACTAAAGTTCAATAGGGTGTTGCAGGCCTTCCCGTAATAAAGTCATCTTCCTTTATTGGCTCTCCCTCTTCATGGTGTTTTAAGTTCCAAATCACCATCCACTTAGCTCAGAGCATATCTCTAATGGGTTTCACAGCATTCCACTGACTTCCACATCACTCCATTTCTGGGCAATGTAATGGCCCAAATTCATACCTTAAATGACTCAACAAGGGTAAAAAGACTTTTTTTTAGAAATAAATATGATAATGGTTTATAGAAAAATCTAACCATTACCCAAAACTTGAACTTTTTTTTCTTTTTTTTTTTTTTACTCTCTTTGAAATGTGAACAATCATAATTTTTTCCATATTCTCTACCTCCCATTTTCAATTTTAGAAATACCAGAACACATTAGTAAGAATGAAACAAAAAACCATCAGCCTGAAGACTAGGGCAAATATTCATCTCAGTTAATTTTTGTCGTCCAGATTCTGAAGTAACATCAATCATAGAAACATTGCCTCATCTTCTGGGGTATCACTCCTGCATTTGATTACAGAGAGAGAATGTAGCAACAAGTCACACCACAAGCCTCAGCTGCACTCTAAAGTGAGGTGAATGCATGGCTGGAACTTTTAGAGCCCTCTAGCTCACACCATGGTGTCAGAACCTACTGAGCGAGATCCTCAGCTCTGCCTTACTCAAAGATGGTAGGATGACCAGCATTTGGTACATAATTCCTGACTTCAGGTGACAAAGCACCAAGAAGACTTTTATACGTATGCCCTGAAGGATTTCCTTCATGAGACAATGGGTCTTTCCTAAAAAAAAGTTGAGTTGAAGCAGGTAGACACTTCTCCAGTCATGTTAAGGTAATGACCACACTTAGTGGTTGGACACCTGTATGAAGCCAAATTAAAGCAAACTTTGAAGAGGTTAACTTGTTACTACTGAGAAAGACAATTCAAGCACGTGAAACCACAGCCTCCAAATTAGCAAGGTAGGGATATGTACCCCTGTACTGAGAGAATCACAACAGAACTGTCTCCTTACTACATTTTCCAGTTATTAGTTGTGAACATCCATGGAAATGTGAAATGTCTGACATAAACATGAACAATGAACAAATGAAGGAAAATAATGCTCAGTTTCCTGACTGTGGTTAGTTTAGGTTAAATATTCAAGTTTGCACAGAAAAAACAAAATGGCAAGGTAGAACTCTCCTTTTAAAATTGCTGTCTAATAATGCTATATGCAAAACTTCTCTTGTCCCAGCTTACATGCTACTGTGGTCTTCTGTTTGGAGTGTCACCACACTTTATTTGGGACTATTTTACAACCATTCTTTCTCTTTTCTCACTGCTCAGGAAAAAGCGATTCTAGGTATTACAAAAATGGCAAAAGAGTATGGGACAAATCCAAAATGATTTTAGAACCTCCTCAGCCACCCCCTGTAAAAACAGAATTGCCAGCATTGTGTTCCTTCAGCTCAAAATATGAAGATACCAGGTTTTGAACACAGTGAAGACTTGTTCTTTAACATCGTACCTCTGCATCACTTGACGTCAGCTCACAGGCTTGTACTATTTCTTCTCTAAGAAATCCACAAGTTATTCCTTGAGCGCAGACCAGCACATACTGTGTTGTGTTCTAAAGGACTAAGCACTCAACTACTAATTGAAGTGGCATGGCCCATCTCCTAAAAGATTATGGGGGAACGACCCATATCCTAAGAGATTATAGAGGAATGACCCACCTCCTAGCTTGGCTTTGTTAAGAGTGTGCTTATCGTGCATTTTATGGAGAAACACTGCTACATTTCTTCCTGAAAAAGGCACCAGTGTGACTCCTGTGACATTCACCATTCGAGAACTGGAAGGCTGTTAGCTTGTTAATGTTTTAGCTAATCAGCTGTGCAGATAGACAGGCTTCTAAAGGGGTTCAGTACCCACAGGTTTGGAAACTGGGGTGTTCGGAGCACAGAACTCACATCAGTCCCCTAAACTACAAGCCAGAAAACAAGGTTAGAATTTATACTCACTACTTATTTTCACACACGAAAACGAAGAATTAAGAAGCAATTGGTAATTAATTTCCTAGTCAGAATGGAAACTATTACACATTCCTGTAGTGTTTCCTAACACACCATTACCTTGCACACAGTGACAAACTGCTGATCATTTCCAGCTCCCACCACGATGTAGCCATCCTTGGTCTTAAAAGCCTGGAAGAACAAAGGCAGGTGATAATCTGTAATTAAACTATAAAATATTAGCACATCTTTTAAGTGAAAACTTTGCAAATAACGTTCAAATGACTTCCTTAAACATTTCCAATCTATTCCATTTCCATTTCTAGTTCTATAAAAGTGGCTCAAAGTCACCCTCGAGGATGGATGCATCCCTTTTGATTTTTCTAATGTTATTCTAGAACTTTTCAAAAGTTGAGAAGTTATCTTGCTTAATATTTTATTTGCTGAAAATATGGCTTGAGGCATCCTGAAATCTTGCAGATATGTCTCTCACTCACGGGGACTGAGGAGGATTTACCAGAATAACACTTACTTGCCAGGAGTTATTTATTCAGCTTCACTCAGCCTCACTGCAAGCAGACACCTGCACTGAGGTGTCACAAACCCTGGCCAAATATGCAAGTAAAAAATAGTTGCCAAACAGCCATGACAAATTAGGGACCTTCATGGGGGTGAAAGGGATAGGCTACATCTTTCCAGCTCTTCAGCTGAAGATTAAGTTACCTCCTTGGTCAGTCATCTCAAGATCAAGCTCCTGGAGAAAAAGGGACTTCTTATCCAGCTTTTAGGGTTTATTTTCTTTAATTCTCACTTCATTTCAGTGGCCTCAATGGCACATTTCATGGTGAACTGCGTATTTAACTGGATAGGAGATCACAGCTTTCATTTCAGGCTAAATCATCTCCACTTAGCTTTTCTCCACACCTCACCCTTATACAAGGGTATGTAACTGCAGCTTCAGTCATAGCTGACACAACCATGATCTTCACGAGCTCTTGAGAATAATTCTTTCACTAGGAATTTGACTTCATTGCAAGAGGCCAGCACAGCTTGGTGCACTAATAGTGACCAGGCCTTGCAGAGGGAAAACCCCATCTTCCACTTTCAGAAATCACTTTTTCTGTTATGACCTCTCATGTCCTGATCCAAAGGACTGAATTCTTACTACACATTTTAGTTAAACAACACAAATAGAAGCCATGATGTGGGAACGCTGCAATAATTAAAAGTCTTCTCATGCCAGTGTGGCTTATTCTTCTTCACAAACAGGAATATGCTATTCCAACTTGCAATCTTTCATACAGATACAACTACATCCAGGCTAAGATTCTCCCCATCTGGTATAATCAAGGCTTTAAAATCGCATGTGGAAAATTATGTCCTTACTGAAATGCATAGTTAGGGTATCGCTTGTTTACTGTCACTGTGTTTCATTTGCTGGTAAATAGCAATGGTCAGTCTAAGATTTTCAGCAAGCAAAGGGAAATTCAGCAAGCATTTAGTCCTAAGCATGCAAAAGAAGCTCCACTGACTGAGCCCCAATATATTAAAAGTCCAGAAGCATGCACAATATAAAGGTACTGCATACTCATGCTGTGAAAATTGATGAGCACAGAAAAAATGGGGAAAAGAATACAGAAAACAAAGTTCTGTATGAATGCATGAGCATTTTTTAGATATATCTGTTCATGTACCAAACAATCATGACAGAGCCTTGTGTAAGAATATGTAAGACGCTTCCCTCCTCCCCCCCTGAGTAAATGGCTTTTAGTAGGAATAGTTATGAACTAAAACTGTCAGCATAAACTTACTACTTTTAGTTACAGGCAAGATCTGTTTTCTGAACACCCTGCCTGATCTGTCTTTGCTGATGCTCTGAATTCTAAAGCCAGCCACACACATTTCACACAAATTATGGGTTAAACACTAGACGTATCTGTGTGAGTATGTAACACAATATAGTTTTTATTGGTGCGACCACCTACTACTTCCAGTAAACATGAATTAGAAATTCTTTCACACATTCTTTTAAGCTTCTAGTCTGGATGCCTCTTACAGATTGCAAAGCCATATGTACATGTACACAGATCCCCTTCCTCCAAACTCCAAAATACATGCAAATTCATAGCATGGGCAAATCCGAGAGGTTTTGCTATTTATCAGCAACTTCTTTGGAGACTTCCATCTCTGTAAGAAGATGCAATCACACCATAGCTGCATACCATGATGAGACACGCATCTGTACCTGTGGGCTGCCCACGCAGCAGTGGAAGTCACCCTAAATTTCAAGGCCCTGGTTATGAGCATGTGTGCTTCAGTCGCTTTGCGGAATATGTGGGAAAGCTGATTTTTCTTAATTGCATTATATGTCTAGAAAGCTAAACCAGCAATCATGTCATCCTTACACAACAAAAATGGTATCCTAATAAATGCAGCAGTGTCTTTTTCCATGAAGCTTAACTCAAATGTCTTCAGCTGCTATTTTAAGTTTCGCATTACATAACAGCTGATTATTTGCCAGTCATTGCTGCTGATAAAGCAGAAACTTCAAAATGTCATTAGCACGATACTGATGCCAACATTTAAGGGTGATAACAAAGGTTTTATTCATCACCCGTAAAAGTACACACACTACAAGTTACCACAGGTTACTGTCTGGCCGCAGAAAGCTTCACAACCGTATTATACAAAGGAGAGTAAGGGAAGAGCACAAACAGATTTTAATGAGATTTTGTTTTGATAAACTGCTGTCCATCACATCAAATCATTTCACATAAGCATGGAAGTCTTTTTTTCCCTTCCCCATTCTCTGAAGAATGAGGCCTTCCAATAAGAATTTTCGGAGCATGAGCATGATTTAACCTGCTACTCCCATGTGATACCCTGAGCAACAGGACACCCCCAGTGAAGACAATAAGCAGAAACCAAACAAGAAGGTTATTAGTCTGCACCCTATTCATGGAAAAGGTGGTGACAGATTGTGAGCATCCAAAGGCACAGGTTTCAGTCTGGTGTGAAAATCCTGGGGTTTTTAAAGAAAGTAATCTGCAATTCACACTGAACGATACATATAGCACATGACACCAAAATATGCATGCTCAAAGCCAGATCTCAAAGTCCAGCGTGCATGCACCAAAACCTCACACTGACTATCGGATGTTACAGGACCTCACTAAGACTCAGCACTTTTCAAAGCTTCATCCTAGAACTGTTGAGTACACCTGAGATACTTAATGTACCGAAACATTTTAACCTCCCTGAACAGATGCAATAGAAACTATCACCTTCGGAAATGCTCTACCGGGTTTACAAGCGTTCTCCAAAAATGCTAGACTATACAACAGACCATACCAAAAAAATGCAGGCCAAACTTAACTGCAGTTCATTATCAGAGTCAATCAAGAATTCCTGCCATAATGTGAGGCCAAACTAGCCAGTCTCTGCTCTAAGTCAGTGGCCTTCCAAAATTTGCCGGCTTTGATGGTATTACTGAAAGACCGACAATCTTTTGTATTTATTGTCTTCTTTATGAATTTTAAGCTTATCTATGCAACGACAATCATCAATCACACATAAATATCTTTGCATGAGTTTTTAAGGGACCAATTAAAAGAGTGCCGATTCCAATAATCAAAAGTCCAGGTAAGCAACCTTTGCGACCAGCTGGGGACAGTGCAGAACAGGCACAGACTTCAGAAGTCTGTAAGCTAAACCGGAATTTTCCAACAAAGCTTTGAAGCGTTATCATTAACATTTTTAAGGAAAATAGGTTGATTCTCGTATGTCACTCCTTCCACTCCACTCCGTCTTCCCATTTCAAGTAATGACTCGCTTAGAGTAGAATCACAGAAGAGTTAGGGTTGGAAAGGACCTTAAGATCATCTAGTTCCAACCCCCTTGCCATGGGCAGGGACATCTCCCATTAAACCATGTCACACAAGACTCTGTCCAACTTGGCCTTGAACACTGGCAGGGATAAATGAACAGTGGATAATGTGGAAAGTGGATAATGGATAATAACACTTATGGATAATTACTCAGTAAAACATTGTGTGACCATGCATAGGTCTCTGTTTCGGTGCTTGAAGTACCTCCCTGGTATTAACCAGTGTGGTCAAATAGAAAACCTGGTCTCTTGCAGGCTTGGAATCACAGAAAATCACAGTGTTACTTCTAATTTATTGCATAATTTGTCTTCAATTAAGCTTTCAAGTTTCCAGTGTGATACTTGACGCAATGCAAAGGTCATTTAAGGACAAGCATTCTCTAGTCTTAATGTAGATTAAAGGCTGCGATTAAAGGTGATGCATTCAGGATTTGACTGACCTGTAAGCAGGCTCTCTTCTGACAATCAAATGTATCTACAATATGCGTTGACTTTTTTCTCTTTCAACCTTATAAACTCTGGTTCCCAAATACATTAAGGAGTAGGAGATCCTCAGTTTTGCTTCAGATCCAGAACAGTTACATTCCTTCCAGATTGGATAAACTTGGCACATCACTTCTCTACCTTTACACATCGGTTTGAATAAAACATCAGCTGTGCCACAGAACCATGGAGTGACCATGTTCTTTTTTCTTTCAAGGGAAGAGCACAATACTTTCATAACAACTCGATTACTGTAACAAATGGGAACAAGACCAAAAAGTCTGGTCAGTGGTAGTTCTGAGCACCACATATAAATCATGAAGACCACACACTTTGAAGCTATTTGCCTACTTTGCACTCTATTCCAGTGAAAGCAAACAGTACAAATAAAAAATGTAAATTTCATGGACTGGATTAATGTAAGCTGAATGTTCTCACTGAGCAAGCTGAAGAAGAGCATTCCACACAAAGATTTCACTTTCCCCCCGCAGTGTTCTCAACCCGGACTGCTTGTCCATCTCTTCACTGCCATGCTGCATGATGAACTATCCTGCGACTCCACAGCTGTCACACTCCACCAGACAGATCAGTATTAACAACATCTGCAATAATTCTCTTGTGGAGAAGAGACTTTTGACTGGATGCCACGAGCCTGTGGGAAAGGTGTTTACGGTAAGAGTGGGAATGATTACTTTGGTTTCTGAGATGAGGCAGAACACCAGCACTGATGTCAAAGAAAGCAGACCACAGACTAACAACCAGGGAGACTGTTCACTTCTGCAGAGCCCATAAGCCATGAGACAGTTTTTCTGATCAGCCTTCA